ACACACACTCACATACACACACACACACACATACACACACTGTCAAATTATTTTTGCCCCTTCCCCCTCCCTAAAAATACGCTCTTGCAGAGAATAAGAACATAAGCAATTCATCAGGAAACAGAACTGTCTTCCCCATTCTTTATGACTTGAGATTACAAACCCCACTTACCTGGTACTTTTTCTAAATTTAGTAGTCATTGGTTAAAAAAAAAAAAAAAAAAAAAAACTAAGTAACTAAGACATAAAATAAATAAAACAAAGAGAGTTAAATACTGTGCTCTATGACAGACCCATGAAAATTAAAATGACTAATAATTCTAATCTTTAAAAAAGCAATATTAAGACCTAACTTATTATTAGTTCATGACACAGTAGGCGCTAACCACATGTGGCTACTGAGCACTTGAAATGTGGCTAGGGCCACATGTTAAAAATGATAATATTTTGAATATATTGGGTTAAATAAAATATGTTAGTAAAATTAATTTCCTCTGTTTCCTTTTACTTTTTTCAGAGCGGCTGTAGAACATGCAAAAATTACATGTGTGGCTCTATGATAAGCCTTGCCTACCCCCTAGTGTCAGAACTTAGGCAATGCAAGAAAATCATTTTTCAAACTCATCTGCGTAGGATACAATTCATTTCTGCCGGTAAAGTACAAATAGCAGCTTGCACATACGATTTTATCATTTTCACAGATTTAAACCTCAGAGAGACTGCTGTAATAGATGTTATATGCCCCACTTAATTAGTATTTTTTAAAGTACCAGGTTTCTTGAAGAAAATTCGAGATACAGTCCATGCAGTCAAGCATATTTGCAGGGTTCCTGTAAATGTCAGCCCTTAGAGGGGAAGAAGACATGAGGCCAAACTTGGATGCAACAACTGCTCTTCAAAGAATGTACCCTAAGTTAAAAATAACGTAAGCCACCAAAATACACAATCACAACTCGCATGTTTTGCATTTATAACAGGAAAAAAAAAAACAGAAAACCTAAATTTCCATAAATTTGAACAGTACAGAACCTCTACAAAATAAATAAAAAAAAATTCAAAAGAAGAAGGCAGGTCTAAATAAAGACGGCTAGCATTTGAGCACTTGCTAGGCAAACGCAGTTCTCAGCATTTCCCAGACATTAACTGATTCCTTACTATAACTCTGAGGATTATTTTTTATTATTTTTATTATTCTCGTTTTGCATAGAAAAAGGCTGAGTCCCAAAGAGGTTTCATAACTTGCCCAAGAATGAAAGAAGGACTGAAGCAAACCTGAAGCTCATGCTGCTTCCTGTGCCATGAGTAATAAAATCTTTTGTCTCAGGCCAGTTGTGGTGCCTCACCTGCAATCTGAGCACTTTGGGAGGCCAAGGTGGGCGGATCACTTGAGTTCAGAAGTTCGAGACCAGCCTGGACAACATGGTGAAACCCTATCTCTACTAAAAATACAAAAGTTAACTGGGCGTTGTGGCAGGTGCCTATAATCCCAGCTACTCAGGAGGCTGAGACAGGAGAATCACTTGAACCTGGGAGGCAGAGGTTGCAGTGAGCCAAGATTGCACCACTGCACTCCAGCCTGGGCAACAAAGTGAGACTCCATCTCAAAACATAAGCACCAAAATAAAATAAAATCTTTCATCTCTGACCTAAGTATCTCATGCTTTCTGCCCAGCATCCGCGAAACTACGACCAGCTAAACTATCAGCTTGCGAGGAGGGTAAAGGCTCAGACCCTTCACCATTCTTGATATCTAACTACTTCCCAATCAGTGAGACACCCTCTCTACAGCAGATTTAGCTCAAGGCCAGCAAATAAAAGAGCTCTCAACACCCTCTCTAGGTCACTCTGTTCTCCAGCTTGCTGAAGCCTTTCCCTCCTTCTTAAGATTGAGCTGAAACCTGTCTTCCTAAAGTGACTTTCTCCACTACAGTCAGCTTTCTAGAACAATGAAAAGCAAGTCTTTTTCTCTTATACATGAGAAAGCTTCAAACCCTGAAGGCTCTGACCACATCTACTCACCCAAGCTCACAGTCTTCAGCCGTTCCTGGAATGTGAATCTTTCCAGACTCATTCTAGATGCCTCCAAATGTGAAAACAGCTGCCATTTATGGAATGTTCCCTATGTGCTAATCTCTTCACCTACTTTTCCGTATTTAGTTATCCCAGTAACTCCAATTAAAGTAGGCATGTATATCATATCATTTTTATAGACGATGATACAAGCTCAGACAGGTTAAGTGGCCTGGATGAGGCCACACAGCCAAGATGTACCAGAACCAGAATTATGTTTGACTTTAGACCCCACCCCCTGACACAACATTTGATTTCCTTTGTTGCTTCATTTCCAGGCATGCCCCACTTTTTCCAGGGACTTTATGCCAACAGATTAAATAGTCACCAAGCACCACAGCATTTGGTGGAATTGAAACAGCGCAGTCCAGGTTATATTCAAAGTTCTCTGGGGAAATGGAACTATTAAAGTGAATGTATAAATCAATAGCACCCAAGTTTCCAACTCTCTCAGCTGGCTCAGAAAACTAGCTACAATTTCAACTTTAAAAGACCAAATCCGTATTTTTGAAGTGCCCAAATATTCCCAGTAATAAATCTTAAAATTGTAAGATGCTCTGTGTCACAACCACTCATGTCTACGCCGAATGAAACCTCCAGGAAGATCCCTAAATGATTAATTCCACTGGAGTCAAGTTTCTGAAACTTCCTTCCAGACGGCATCTTTCCACTTTGCCATGTTTGCTGCCCCCTTGTGGGGAAATGATGCTCTGCTTACAGCCCAAAAAAAAAAAAAAAAAAAAAAAAAAGGAACAAAAGGAATTGCTAACTGAAGAAATAACAGAGTTAGCCCTGGCTTCCTTTTAAAGGAAAAGGATCTGCCAATTGGCCCTTCACCTTTTCTACAGCTTGAAGCTACACAAGTCCTATATGTGTATGTGATCTTCTGCTCAATTATTATGGCAAATAGACTAAAAACAACAAAAGTGGTCTTTTGTGTCTTATAGTTGCTTAAAAATACCATTTCTGGACTCTGTGGAAATGTATCAGTGCCATTTGTCTTCAAGAAAGAGTCTCACCACCCATCCTGTGAAAATTAGGTGGGTTTTTATTTAGGTTTTTTTTTAATGCTTAAACTAAAATTAAATCTTTGATGCCCACCTACCATAACACTCCATCTCCCAAAACTGGGGGGAGACTGCCACCTTCTTCTCTCTGTGTCTCTTAGGCAGGTAGGTAGAGATATGGTTGTAAAATGTCTCCTTGTTTACACATAACAATCAACAAGCCACTCTTCTAATCCAAGCCATAAAAAGCATCAAACTTCTAACGAGGGGTTCCTAGTGCCACCATTTCTTTAATTGGCCAGTACTAACCACAAAGCCCATGGGACCATGCTGGGAGCCTTTCTGGACACTTACACACAGCCTTCTGCAGTTAACTCTCTGCAACTTGCTCCCACTGTAATACATCCGCAGTGGAGTGAAAATCTAACCAGAGTTTCTCAGGATCTCAGTGCACTGCCTCAGTTATTTCTGGTGATCCTGAGTTCTCCATCAGCTGAGCACTAAATCGGGACAAAACTGCCACATGGACATTGCAAGATTATTAGAGAAAATTTACAGCATGAATGGGAGTGGGTGGTCATCTCACTGAAATGCTTTGCCTGTCAACTAGTCTGGCTCTTAAACTCCAGTCAGGAAAACAGTGGAGTAATCTTATCTGTATTAAACAGGTAAGATTGAGGACCTCAAACACTACCCTCGTGAACAGACTCATAAAAAGAGGCATAGCACAACAACCAACTACCTGTGTGTACTTCGCAGCAGCCAGATAGTATTGATTTTATGCTAATTTGCTACAACTCCAATCATTATTTTTCTCATCTTCTTGGAACTGTCACTAGAGGAGGGAAAATTGAGTTGTATTAGATTTTGAAAATTATCTTGAGCCTAAAATTATAACTAACCTTAAAATATCAGAATAACAAAGTGGAAAGTATGACATGTTATATATTAATGGTAAGAATATCTCATGAACTTTCCATGCAAAGACCTTTGGAGAGAGAATTTATAATTCTGACCCATACGTGATTTGGGGTTTAGGCATCACTCTTCCTCAAAGAAGTCAAAACATTTCTGGCACTGCCATGCCTCAGATTACCACAGCTGAGAGAGTAAATTAATTCACAACAAGTCCATTGACAAATATGAATTATTCAGGAAAACACAATTCACTGGGGAGTTTCCACTATGTCACTTTAAATGTTGATGCAGGAAAGAAAGGACAGAAACACAAAAAAACACAAACCGATCTGTAGCTGATGGTTTTGATCTCACCTTTAAAAATCAGCAATACACAGATAAGAGTTTCACTAGAAGTTATCAGAATGACTGCCTCTAAATCTTTTAACAACCCCCATTTTAAGTCCCTTATGAAAGTTACCACAGATTTTTCTTTCAGTCTTCTTTTTAAAAAGATCACGTAGCCTATTTTCTCCACGTGTCTAAAAAAGGTCTTAAATTATATGACTGTTCCCTTCACTAAGGCCCTGTAAGTGTTAATTGAAGTTTATCATAAAGATGGTCTACTTCTGAGGAAGCATAGGAGTGTGTGGATGGATGGTCAGACAGATGGACTGACATGTACACACACACACACACACACACACACACACACACACACACACAGACACGCCAACCACACAAATTGCTGCTGGTTTTCTGGGATTCCTTGAGAAAAAGTGCTATAAACATAAAAGTGTGTCCAAGAAAATAAAAGTTTTTAAAAGCCTGAAAAATATTTTTTAAAAACTCTTTACGCACTAAACCATTAAACTGTGTTACACCACCATATTTCATGCTTCCTCTAGTTATTTACACACCATCAGAAGCTCTCATCAGTTACCTGTGTCCAAAATGTGGACTCTGACATTTGGAGGGGTTTTATTAATTGATCTCAGCAGTGCATAATGAGCTTAAAGGACTTACCTGTATGTCCCCGGAGGTGCTGGCTTGAGGCGGACATCAGCTTACAGCACACCATTAACACGTAGGCTAGAAAGAGCCAGTGCGGCAGCAACACTGACTTAGCACAGACTCTCATCCTGGAGGAAAAGCAGGGCTGGAGTCAGTGAGGGTTGAGGAAGGCCAGGCTCCCTGGCAAGCACCATCCTAGGAAGGCGGGAGAGAGCAGGGGCAGATCCCTGGAGCTAGACTTCCTTTCTCCCAAGAAAACAGAAGACCAATCAAACCTTATTTGCACTGAGCATTAACTAAATTTTCAATAAACACCTTTGATAATTAAGAGTTTTCCAAGTTAGCACTATGCGTCAGTGAGAAGCTCATTTATCAATCCCCAAGCTGTGCTCGAGTTGCCCTAATAAAGCATGGGGATTTTATTCTATTTTATGCCATGAGATGTAAAAGCAACATACTTAGGAATAGATGCAAATAAAATATATATGGTTTCTAGATCTTAAAGAATCCACGGAGATTTTGCACAGGTAGTCCAAGAACTTTCTCCTGGTTTCTCTGACTGTATACAAAGGATTTCTGGTCCGAAAGACTAGATTCACAGTTGACTAAACCAGTATCAAGATTTGGAGAGGAGTACGGGCAAATCCAGGTGAATATAAAATAAATTTAACTTCCTATGATGGACAGTATCAAAACAGTTGCTCAGACAATTCAGTTCACATTATAGTTGCATGTTCTATTCTAAAATAAAAGAGTAAATACAAAATCATTATTCCCAACTGCCTAATTTTCTGCCCTTTTTTCTAACATCATAAGGGAATTAAGTAAATAGAACTTGATGAACTTTTGGCGTTTGCTTTTTTAAAATTAACATTTCAAGCAAAAGTCACTGCATTTGGCACCTGAAATTCTAGTGAGACTAGGTTCTGCCTCACACATGCCTCATGGCATCCATTATTACTACAATGGATCAAAGAAACCCCCTTTTAATAAATGCAAATGTATACACAGTTATGGGCCCACAATAAAAACATGGGTTTGGATTCTTGGCCTTGGGCACCTGAGTTTGGCCTCTCGCCTGCGTCATACTATAGGCAAGGCTCCTAAGGAAGTCCTCTAAAGAGGCATCTCTAGCTGCCAGAAACGTAGCAATGCTTCTACCAAAGTCCCGGTTCCCTGCTCCAGGGAAAACACATCAAAGCCTCAGAGGAACTCCATGCCCACACCACGCTCCCAGGCACACACAGGTTCTGCTGCCAGCCTTCTCTCCCGCGACTTCTCACAATTCAGTCAAATAGACCTTGATAAAGGGCATATTGCTTATTGATTTGGGACTCAGTCTCCTTTTAAGCAGCCAAGCCATCATCTTTAAAGAATTTGATGTTAAAGGTAACACAAAGCCTTGGCTTCTTTTTGCCCCTTTAAACTGTTTCAAAATGGTTTTAAACTGCTTTGTTGGGTAATTTGCAATGCAGCAATATAAAACTAATCCTTCATTTATGTGATGCCTTGAAATTTTCCCTTTTGGGGCCGCTAATGATGACAAATTGGAAGTCAGGGTACCTGATCCAGATTGTAAATGTGTTTTGTTTGATCTGTGCCTTTTTTTAAAATAAATTGAATTGGTTGCCAACACATAAAATGTCCAGTTTGCACATCAGAATCCAGATTCTCTTGAAAAATTATTCCTGACATCCCTGGGCTCACATTTCCACATGGGAGTAACAGACTGGGGTGGTCGCACCTGCCCCTAGACAGGTCTCCATAGTCCCTCCCTCAAGCCAGTACCTTAGGCCCACCCAGCCTGACTCATTCGCATGTGGCCATGTGAACTTCTGATCCTTGGGTAAGAGAAATAAGCCTTTGTAACAACTAGATCAATAGCTGACACTGGGGTAACAACTGGAATTTTAAAACATTATGTGTGAGAAAGGGTGTTGCATTTTTTAAAAAATCATCAAATATGGGAATTTGAGCCTCTGGGCTTCCCCCAAATTATATGACTGATAATAGCAACTCAAACTCACGGAAGGTCCACATATTATTTTCTTTGCCACCTTTCAAGCTGCTTCTAGAGTTTATGTCCCCTTCTTGTGTGTACTTGGAGGTAGGGGAGATGGAAGGCATGCTTTAAGAAACTAAAGGCCCTTAAAAGCAGAGCAGCTCCATGTTTCTGTGTAACTTTGGAATGCTAGGAATGTCTGAAGCAAATTACCAAACTTAGAAGTTTAAAACGACAATCTATACCCATACTACCCTCAACCACCCAATCTCATCTGACCTCAGAAGCTAAGCAGGGTCAGGTCTAGTTAGTGCTTGAATGGGAGAAGTTTGAAACACCAATATATTATCTCATAGTTTCTGTAAGTCAGGAGTTTGTCATGTTCTGGCTGGGTCCTCTGCTCAGAAACTCACAAGCTAAAATCAAGGTATCAGCTGGGAGTGTCCTCATCTGGAGGCTCAACTGGTGAAGGATCACTTCCAAGTGCTCTCAGGTTGTTGGCACAAGCCATTTTCTAGGGACTCTCTGACTGAGGGCCCTGTATTCTTGCTATCAGCCAGGACCTGCTCTCCAGGTTTTGCCACATCTTTGCCACATGCCCCCTGCATATGCTCCTTCATGGTTTGAATCTCTTCTTCCAGGAAAGGCTCAGTCCCTTTTTAGGGCTTACCTGATTGGGTCAGTCCCACCCAGGATAATCTTTCTTTTGATTAACTGAAAGTCAGTGTATGTGGGACCTTAAAAACACTGGTGAAATCCCTTCATCTCTGCCTTACAGGTGTAATTTAATCAAAGATGTGAATCTCATCATAACCACAATTCCACCCACACTCAAAGGAAAGCAATTCAAATATTTAAAATAATGTCCCACTATTGGCAATAACTGAATGAAATATCTCTAATACAAAGAGAAAAGGTTTAACTTGTCAAAACCATAAACTGATAGATAATTTGATCATGTGTGTCAAATGTTCACAATGTTCATATCCTTCAACCTAGCAGATCACTTATAGGATTTAACCCTAAAGAAATAACAAGCAATGTATGGGACCTTTTTATTGTTTATACTACTGAAAATGATCTGGCCATGCATGGTGGCTCATGACTGTAATCCCAGCACAATGGGAGACTGAGGTGGAAGTATTGCTTGAGGCCAGGAATTCAAGGCAGGAATGAGCTATGATTGTACCAGCACACTCCAGCCTGAGCAAAGAGTGAGACCCTGTCTCAAAAAAAGAAGGCAGGGAGGCAGGGATGGAGGGACAGAGGGACAGAGGGACAGAGGAACAGAGGGAGGAACAGAGAAAAATGATCCCAGTGTTTAACAGTATGAGACTGGTTAAACAAAATATGACACAGCCATGAGATGGAACGTTTTTCAGTAATGAAAGTGATATTATAAAATGAAAAAGAAACAAAAATTTATTTTAAATATATGAATTATGTGACAGTCTGGGCCTGTTGTGCCTTCAGATCCATTCTTCCCCTTTTCCCTGAACTAAAGACTGGAGGGTCCTCTAGGCTGCATTTCCCAGGCTCACAGGTTAGCTGGCTACTGGCTGAGTTCAGTCAAGGAAAGGCAACAGCTGGAGTCTGGAGAATGCGAAAAGGGATAGGCAAGGACATCTCTCCCTGCCTTCTCTGTCTTTGGCAGGATCTGTGGATTGGCCATTTCTCCACCATGGCTCCAGTTCCGGACAGAAGGGCCCACTATGGTTGCAGCTTCCAGTCTAGTTCCCTTCTTCTAGCACTGCTTCCCCATGGACTACTTCCATGATCCCCAGCCGGGGCATGCAGTGGTTTCCTGCGTGTCTTCTGCTCAGTTTCCCAGACTCTCCCATCATATGTATAACCAGTCTCCAAAATTCACTTTCCATTGGACAAAAACGGAGGGTGGAGATAATGCATTCCCAGGACATGCAATTTACCCAACCTCACGGAGCAGTGAAAAAACCAGCAGAATGATTTCTGTTTTCCTGGTTGGATTCAACAACAAACCACTGAAATCAAAAGTCTCAAAAGCAGACATTCCAAATCCCAGGCAATGATCCCTAATCCATCTTCTTCTTAAATGGATAATTCTACATAACGAGTTGCTGGGTGAGTAGCAACAAGTTCCCAGTCCCTAAAACAAGTATTCTCTTAACAATAGCTCAACAACCATTCCTCTAGAGAAATGCCAGGCAGGGTGGTAGGGGTGGGGCCAGAAAGCTATTCAGCAATAGATTTATATTTCCTCATCTTTTCCTCTACTGAATAAACCAAAGTACTGTTTTGCAAACTGAAATAATTTCTTTCACAAGTGAAAGCTAAAATGAAAAGATCAACATTTCGCCAAATTCCTAAAAATTCTATGTAAAAGCAGGCTTCAAAAAAAAAATCATCAACTCCAGGATACTCAGTTTTGCTAAAATTCTCAATACTTTGTAAAGATATTATCTCTAGGTGAACATTAAAATAATCTTACCTTGGAGACTTCGTAAGATTTGGTTCCAGTCAAACACAATTATTCCAGGATGTATTTCAGAGTGACTCCAAATTCCCATCTGTAGCTAGAACTAATCATTTCTGCCGTTCCAAAAAATTATCATAGCTTAGAAGACCTATGTTAAAAAAGCCAAAAAAAAAGGGAATCAATTAGCATTTTAATGTTAAAATGAAACTAATTTCCAGGAGCAAAATAATGGTCTTTACCATGACACCTGCAGTTTCAGGCAAATGGCAGGCAGCCAAACATATCCATAGTTGTGAGGTGTCCTAATATTAGGAAGGAAAAGATAGAAAATTCTACAGTCATTAACTAGCCACATATTAGTTAACACAATATAGTTTTAAAGAACTTCCTGCAATGGGAAGGGTATTCAAAATGTAACAGAGGGCCCCAAATCATTTGAAATGCATCAATTTCACTCTCCCATTTCGTTGACCATTGGACAAAACTGGAAGTTGGAGATAACAACTTCCCAAGACATGCAATTTGCCCATGCCCATAGAGCAGTGGAAAAGCCAGCACAAAGCTCTGAAGTCTTAGGTTTGTGTGGCATAAGCCTGAAGATGATGCTAGACAATCTACAAGGTTGCTTTTTGAAAAAAATGTTAATAGGACACCAAGTGAAAAAGTATTTTCCAATATAATCCACCATACCAAAATATAGAGAACACTTGTGAATACTGCAATTGACACTCCCTCAATGCACAAACCTAAAAAAAAAAATTTCTACTTAGTGAACACATTTGTAAAAGGACTCAGATGGTCCTAAAGCAAAGACATCTTGAGGAAAAAACAGAACATGAAACTATACCATTTGTAATGATGCTAAGTTAAATACATCTCTCCCTGTGGTGGAGATCAGAGAAAAATAATGATATGCATTAATATATATTCAAGTTGCAAATATAACATAAAAATGATTTTTGAAACACAGTCTAATTACTTTAGAATCCTGTAGAACCAGTTAAGAATCCACCACCAAGCACAACTGAGATTTTTCTCTTAGATAGCCGGAAGATAATTCCACAAGTTTGATTAAAGAACACTTTCGGTGATAAATTTGAAGACTCACCACTTTGGGCTTCATATAAGAGGGTATGGGCCTTCAGTAATTAGTTCAACATGAGGGAAATGGCTTTAAATAACTGTATAAGTATGAGTTGCTCAGAAAAACAACAACTTGAAAATGTTCACCTGCCAAATCCTCCAACTTTATTAAGTATGTTTGTTCTTATGTCCACCCAAGGGCACGATGTGACCTTCTGCTATCAGAAAGAACTACACAATACAATTTATCAGAACCCATCATAATGAACTTCCCACATATTGGAAACCAAAATGACCTTTCCTGGCTAATATTTATCTTGTTTTCTTCACACAAAAGGAAACACTGGGTATTCAATTCATTAAAAAAATAGATCCATCAGTGGAAAGTAATGCGATCTAATAGTTCATATGCCATTCAAGGAGCCAGGAGTTTAATTTCAGGCTGAGCCGTAACTCATTCAGTCGTATTTTCCCAGAGTGTACCTTAGGCATTGGCTTGAAAGAATTAACTCTTTCTTCTCATGTCTTAGTCCATTTTCTGCTGCTATAACAGAACAGAAATTGGGTCATTTAGAAAGAAATTTATTTCTCACAGTTCTGGAGGCTGGGAAGTCCAATATCAAAAAGGCAATTAAATTTCAACACAAGTTTTGAAAGGCACATTCAAGCCATAACATTCCACCTCTGGCCTCCCGAAACTCATGTTCTTCTCACATATAAAACATATTCATTCCGCCTAAATAGCCCAAAAGCATCAATTCAAAAGCCCAAAGTCCAGAGTTCCATCTAAATCAGATATGAGACTCAAGGCATGATTCATCCCACCTCAAATGTCCTCCAGCTGTAAGCCTATATAATCAAAACAAGTTATCTACTTCCAAAACACAATGATGAAACAGGCATAAAACAGACATTGCCATTCCAAAAGGGAGAAATACGAAAATGAAGGAAGTAACTGGTTCCCACTATGTCCAAAACCCAACAGGGAAAACAACATTAAGTCTTCAAGCTGGAGAATAATGTCCTCTGGCTCCATATGTCCTGCATACAGGACATGCTACAGCAGAAATCAGGTTACCAATGCCTTTGGCAGCCCTGCCCCCATGGCTTGGCTGGACCTCATCCACTCAGCATCTGTCTTGGGTTGGTGTCTTGTGCCCACAGCTCTCCGAGGCTGGAGTGGTACGCCAGCAGCTCTACATTTCAGGAGTCTCTGAGGTAGTCTCGCTCTCATAGCTCCACCTTAACAGTGCCCCCTAGTACTGCTCTCTGTGGTAGCTCCGCCCTTGTAATGAGTTTCTGCCAGGACCTCCAGACTGTCTGATACATCCTTTGAAATCTATGTAGAGGTGGCCATGGCTCCAAGGCTCACACATTTTGTACTTCCACAGGATCAGCACCATGTGGACGCCACCAAGGCACACCACTTGTGCCCTCTGAAGCTCTGGCACTAGCTATACCTGGGCCTGCTTGATGGGTGCTGCATTGGAATTTGGGGAACAGAATTCTAAGGCTGCATAGGGCAGTAAATGCTGAGGTCCCGCAGGTACCGCTTTGGAAATCTTGCCCTCAAGGTCCTAGGTTGCCTGAAAGGTCTGTGGAATATTGTCAGGGTAATTCTCTCATTGTCTTAAACTGCACCTGTCTCCACTCTAGCTGTATTAATCTCTTTAGCAAATGGGTGCCTGACCACACCCTTAGTATTTTCTCCCAAATGTGGTGTTTTATTCTTTACATGGCCAGGCAGAGAGTCTTCCAAAGCTTTCTGTTATGCTTCCCCTTTACTTATGAATTCTGTCTTTAAATATTTTTTCTATTCACTCATTTTACTGTGAGCACCCAAAGAAACCATGCAGCACCTTGAACACTCTCCTGCCACGTATGCTAGATCACTGCCCTTAAATTCCATCTTCTATAAAACCCTAGGGCATGGACACAATTCAGCCAAATTCTTCACCATGTTAAAACAAGGATTGTCTACTCTGGTTTCCAATACCATGTTTCTCGTTTCTGCTTGAGACCTCATCAGAATAGCCTTTACCATCCATATGTCCAACAACATTCTGATCACAACCTCTTAAGTGATCTCTAAGAAGTCTCAGACTTTTCCTACAGCTATTCTCTTCTCTCCTCTGAGGCCTCACCAGAACTACCCTTAACACTCCATTCACAGCAATACAGTATTTTTTCAGCATTTACTTCAAAACTGTTCCAGCCTCTACCCATTACCCAGCTCCAAAGCTCCCTCCACATTTTCAAGTATTTGTTATAGCAATAACCCCACTCTCTGTACCAATTTTTTGCCTTTGTCTGTTTTCTTCTACTATAATGGAATACCTGAAACTGGATAATTTATAAAGAAAAAAATCTATTTCTCATAGTTCTAGAACTGGGAAGTCTAATATGAAGGTACCAGCATCTGGTAAGGGCCTTCTTGCTGCATTACCCTATGGCAGAAGATGGAAGGGGAAGAGTATTCAAGAGAGCAAGAAAGGACTCAACTCGCTTTTATGACAATCCACTCTCACAATAAAGAACACAGCCCCCAAGATAATGACATTAATCTATTCATGAGGGTGGAAGCCTCATGACCTAATCCACCTCTTATGATCCTACCTCTTAATATCATCACAATGACAATTAAATTTCAACATGAGTTTTGGAGGGGACATTTAAACCAAACTGTGTCACTTCTAAACTTCAGTACATTAAAGATCAATAATTTTGTGCATGGCATCAAAAAAAAAACAGCATTTATTTGCAATCATTTCATTCCTCTGTTGTTCCCAACTATAACACAGTCCTATCTATCAGTCTGCTTCAAAAGTCATTTGTTTTTAAAGAGTCTCAGTGCTCTCAGTGATGAAAGACATTGCCCATATCTAGACTAAGAAAACTTTTTTAGATCACGTCTGGTCATTCTTGGAATGAACTAAAAAGATGGTGGATGCTGGGCTGCATTTTTCATCTTCTGCCTGATGTGTGGGTATTATATAGAGACAGTCACTGATTTACTACAAAAGAGCAGAAAGCCTATTTATGTCTCTTGACACCAAGAAACTTTGAGGTTCCCAGGCAGAAGAGACCATTCTTCAGATGTTTAATTTATTTCCATGTTACACAAGAAAGAATTTTACCTACACTTGATTTCTTATCAAGGAAAATAGAGAGGCTGTGCCCTCCTCTTCACTTTATCTTCTTGCCTCCATTATCAGTGAGGTAAAATCCCCCAAAGAACTATTCTTTCTAGAATATAGTCATTCACTTGTAGATGAGCACCTTCAGAGTACCTCTTCTGTCTGAAAACCCCCCTCACTCCACATGCGAATTTGCAGGGCATCATATTCCCCCCATCTTCCCACTCAAAATCTATATGATGATGAAATACCAGTTCCTCTTAAAATTGAAAAACACAGTGACCTTAAACCTGGATCTAATCATGAGGAAAATCAAATGAACTCAAATTTGAGAAACACCTGCAACGTAATTTCTCTGTATTCTTAAAGAGTATCAAGGTCATGAAAGACAAATAAAACTAAACATGAGAATTGTCTCAAATAAAGGCAAGAAACATGGCAGCCAAATGCAACTGTGATCTTACATCGGATCTTGGACCAGGAAAAACAGTCATTCTCAGAATGAACTGTACATCCACACAAAAGCAAGAACACATATATGTAGCCCATAAAGGCCATAAGTGAGAAAAGCAACAGTATCTGAATATAGCCTGTATATTGCATTACAGTGTTCTACAACATTAAATTTCCTGATTTTGATTCTCATACTGTAGGTAAGAAAGAAAATGCCCTTGCTATTAAATAGACCCTGAAATATTTAAGAATAAAGGGGCAAATGCCTCCCATTTATTTTCAAATGACTTTAAGAAAACATGGGCGGGAAGAAGGCAAAAGGAAAGAGAGAGAGAAGAGCAGGATAGAGCAAATGAGAGAGAGAAGAGAGAGGGGATGAATGAATGTAAAAATAAGTAAAAGGTAAACAATTGGTGAATCAGGGCACAGGGTATATGGGATTCTCTGTACTATTCTTTGAACTTTTCATTAAGTT